CCCCAAAACCCCAAAACCCCAAAACCCCTTTAACAAATATTTAAACTTAATGTTAATTATATGAAAGATGATAATAATAATAAAAATAGATTTTGCAATTAAAAAGCCAAAATGCTTAGTTCAGTTGTTTTACCAATTCTTACTGTAAGCCAGCTTTAGTGTCCAGATCCAACTTAATACAGAGATTTGAATTCTTGGTCTTGTAGTAGCCAATGCCCTGATTTAACTCTTCCAGTAGAATTAGTAAGGACAGACTTCACAAATAGCTACTTTAGATATTGCAGAGGTATTCTGTACTTTGATTATCTTTTTAGGTTATGAATACTACGTAGACTAAAGTTCCCGTTTGGATATCGAGCTTGGAACAAAGTCCAATCCTTTCAGGATGCTAGATGATCCATTTAGGGAGGCATTCAATAATTTTCCAGACTAAAACCCTAGTATAATTGTGAATGTAAAATCAGGAGCTGCAACAACCCTGCATGGAAAATAAATGCCATTAATTTTATTCAGCACTGATATTATTATAAGGTATGCTTTGATATATTATTATTATTTCTATAGGCCATACTCAGAGAATTTGAATGTAGATTAAAGCACAATTTACTCTAATATCAATCTATATTAAAATGGGTATTCAAGAAATTTTTCCTTATTCAATCCTACTATTGATCAGAGCAACCAAATCATATCTTATAATTATTAAAAATGGATTGATAAAGGAATAACTCAGTCTAAAATGATATCTGATGTAAAATACAAGTTTTATTCTTGGGATTCAAGCATGACTTTTCTTAATATAATATTTACAGAAATTACAGGTGAAGTTATCCAGTAAAATGCTTTAATAACTGGAGGAAATACTCTCTTCAAAACATTAACTATAAGAAACTGCCAATTTTTCTTATAAATGCCAATGTTTTTCACTCAACAAGGCTGGCTGTAAACCATTGAAAATAATTTCATAAACATCACTGCATGGTAGTCACTATCCACAACAAATATAGCATCAACAGATTGTTCTCACAATAATCCAAGCATAGCAAATAACTAATATTGGAACAACAATACCTTTGTTGGTACAAATAAACTCAGACAATCAATGATTGCTTTTGGACAACAGCACAATGTAACATTTACTAACAATAAGTTTATAAATTGTCAATTCCCAACTAACCCACTCGGAACTATTTATATCACATCCAATTAGTATGCTTGTCCTTAATCTCTAAATACTTTTCGATTTATAAACAACACAATCACAAATAATGTACTAACTCTCTCATATTTTGTTTTCTCAATGAATTATCTAGCCACAACAAATTAGTACTATAGAGTTACAATCACAGGGAATACATTTATAAATTAGACATTTGGCCAATAATCAATAGCTCTATTTTAGCTAAGAAAGACAGGCAATACAGGGATGAATGTAACTTTTGAAGATAATTATTTTGATGGACTTGCTAATAGACTAGAAATGCCATTAATTTAGATAAGAGGTGATCACGTTACAATTAGAAACATCACGATTAAAAATGGGTAAATTATTTATATTCAATTATTTAGTGTACTCTCTAATGCCATTCAAATGACAGGAAGTCTTGGTAAGATCCACCATATTCACTTCTCTTCTATAAGCAGTTCAAGTAATTTTAAAATTAATCCTAATTTTTTCAATATAGTAACTAGTGCAACGAATTATGCATTGCTTTCACTAGAGTCATCAAATAATATGGATATTAAAGATTTAATCATTATGAGCTCTTCATTAGGATACAATATGGCTATTGGGATGACTTAGTCTAGTAACATGACATTCAACAATATATCTATTGCTAATTCTTCAGTGACAAGCAACTTTATTACTTATGTTTCCTAGACAAGAGATGTCACATTCAATGATTTCTATCTATATAATATTTCAAAACTACAAGCTGGTACAGTATAATTTTGTTTAACTATTAATAGATGTTCTTCCAGTTTTAAAATTTATTTCTGTCCAGCCTAATACAGAGTCTAATAATCCACAGTCTACAATAATTAAAAACATCAGTCTAATTAACTCATAAGTTCCTTTATTTAATCTTGAAAGCGTAATAGATTACAACAACGGAAATAAAGTTTCAATTGAATTTACAAATATCACCCTTATTAATAATACTATCTCAGGCACATCGTCAATGTTTTATGTTGACTAGATAATCTATAACAACTTGATAATATCTCTAAATGTTTGCAAGTTTATAAACAATACTCTTGATAAAGGATCATATTTCGCTTTAAATAATAATGCCAAAGAGATTAGCATCAATCATTGTATAATTCACAATAACAAAGGATTTTTTGCAGAAATGCAACCTGTTGATGTACAAGATGAAACTAATTAATAAAACTTAATAGTTTAAAACACGTACTTTAAAAATCACTATGGATTTACTCAAGGACTATTTCATGTTACATCTAATTGCTAGCTTTTGATTAGAAATGCATCTTTCAATAATTGCTACAGCTTAGGTAGAGGTTCTATAGTATTTGCTGAGAAAAAATAGTCATCCACAAAGATTTACGATTCAAACTTTACTAAAAATTATGCCTACCAAGGTGGACTATTTTTTTCTTAGCTAGATACTATTATAGAATCACACAACTGCTAATTCATCGATAACTTTGGAGTTATAGGAGGAGTATTATATCTATAAAATGATGGACAAGCTAATTTTTATAACTCAATTTTAAGTAATAATTTGGCCCTAAAGTCTGGATTGTTTCAAGTCTATAACTCCCAAAATCCACTTATAGTCTCAGGAGGATTAATCTCTTAAAATGGAATTTAGTACTCTTAGATGCTCAATGAGATTTAAAACTACCAATTTATAGATACTTAAGCATCTACCTTGAAATTAAGTAAATATTTTGCTCTTGAATACATAAATTTTTTGATATCTATTAAATCTGAGGTTTAAGATTATCTGGCTTTTGACCAAAATACTAAAAACTAGTAGATTAAACTTATTAAAGGGATAATATAATTTGATTCTCATTTGATTATTACAGATTAACTTTAGCTAGCTGATGCGAAATCTTAATCAGAAATAATAATTAATAGTGTGAGTTATTTTAATACTAGTGGAGTCATTTCACCTCTTTTCTACTTAGATTAATCTATCTTTATTGTGACGTCACTAAAATTTGAGAATATAGAAGCAAATTATCCAATTATAAGACAGCAAAGTTACTCAACCTCAGAAATAAATTATTTATCAGCCAGTAATATTAAAGGATCCGTATTCTCAACAAAGAACTCTGACTTAATTATAAGAAACTCAATAATCAAGGATTTAAATCACAATAGTGAATAATATTCTATCATAAATATCCAGAATACAGACACTGTAATAAACAATTTGACCATCTAGAATATAACCAGCGAGAAAACTCAAAAGAATCCTATAATTCAAATAAAAGAAAGTTCATGTACTCTCACATCACTCAACTCTATCCAATTCTCAGCTTAACTTCTAAATTTGTAGAATTCAGAGATAGAGATAAATAATTCTTTATTCTAAGATGGCCATAATGATATTATAGATGGAATAACAATATATTCCTATTCTACCAATTTAAAAATAACAGATTCTATCTTTCAAAATCTCTCTTCTTCAATTGGATCTGCTATTTATGATACTCATATACTTGAAGCAGGAACTATCAAATCTCTCGAAATATATAACAGCTAGTTATTAAATAATTCAGCTGGAGAAATGGGGGGCTCAATATTCGGATAAGATATTGACTTTACAATTCATAATTCAATTATTAAGGATAATAAAGCCATGCTAAGTGGAGGATTTTCTTATCTATCTTGCTCTTTAGATAATTCCAAAGGTTGCACATACGATATTTAGAAAAATGTGTTTACAAGAAATCAAGCATTGAAACGGGGAGGGTCCATTTATTATGACCTATATTCACCATTTAATCTTGAAACAAATCTTTTTGAGAATAATACATCTCCATATGGTCCAAATATTGCTTCTTTCCCTTACAATTTAAAAATTATAAATTCTGAATTGTTATGGTCAAAGTCACTTGTAAGTGGTGGGATTCTTGAGTAAGCAATGCTAGTCGGTATTTTTGATCAAAATAACCAATTGATTACAACGGACAATGTCAGCACATGTAGTGTATAAACTGAAGATTTAGCTTTATAAATATCTGGAAATACGAAAGTTTTAGCAAAGAATGGTGTATATAACTTTACTTAAATTCAAATCCTTGCAAAACCAGATTATAATTCAAAACTGAAATTTACTTCAACTGCAATCAACAATGTCCTATTGCAAACAATAAAGCCTAATATTACCACTTGTAAATTTACCTATATATTATGAATGATATTTTTGTAGCTTTGTTTTTGGATATTTCTTTCAGAGCTTGTGTGAGTGGGGAGGTAACTTATGGAAATACATGCAAAAAGTGCTAGAAAGGATAATATTCTTTTAATCCATTAAGCTCTGATTGCGAACAATGCATTGATAATGCATTATGTTTGGGGGGAGATAAGATTACAGTCAATGAGGGCTACTGGCGAAGCTCTAATATATCAATAATAATTTACTAATGCTTTTCATAAAGTTCATGCCTGTAATTTTCAAATCTTAAAATTTTAGTGGTGGAATTGGAAATGAATGCGCAGTTGGTTATTAGGGAAAACTATGTTCGATATGTGCCACTGAAATTGAAGATAAAATTTATGCCAGATCAGGAGCAACTGAATGTTCAGAATGCTTACCTCTAGGGGTTTAATTTGTACAATTATTTGGAGTTTTAGTTATGTTAATCTGTTATGTTAGCTATCTTGTTTAGTAAATTTATGAATCGTTTTAACTTTATAGTTCTCTTTTAAAATCTGCCAAAAGAAATAAACCACAAACAGTTCTGATTAGAATATTGACTAACTATTTTTAAGTTGTGATGCTTGTTAAAGATTTTGATTTGCACTGGCCACCTCAAGTTCAATAAGTTCTTAACTACTTCTCATATGTGAGTAGTTCTCAAGAGCGGCTATTTTCATTTGATTGCATGTACTACTAGTTAGGATTGAAGAACCAATCAAGTTTTTACATTAAAGTTATTATGTTTGGCTTAATGCCTATATTCTTCAGTTTGCTGGGTGCACTATTCTGGGTTATTGTCAGATTTACTTGCAAAAGAGGCCCCAACAACTCATTTGATTTGAGCTAAAATATTTTAGTCACATCATTTGTTTTCATTTTTATTCTTTATCCTCAGATTACCTCAATCAGTTTTGGGTTATTCAATTGCATTAATTATGAAGATGGAACTTCATATTTAAAGAGAGATATGACAATACAATGCTGGGAGGGAGAACATCTAAAAATGGCTTTAGCTATCGGTTTGCCTTTTATATTCATATGGGCTATTGGTTTCCCAGCTATTGTGCTTTGGAGACTAAATAAAGCCAAAAATTATCTCGGAAAAGAATTTAATCTTCAAAGATATGGACTATTTTATGTAGGACTAAATGATGAGTCATTTTATTGGGAACTAGTCATCGTAAATTTGAGAAAGCTTATCTTTATCATTTGTGGTTCTATTCTTTCAACTTATAAGCAAGAGTACAAAGCATTGATTGGAGTAGCTGTACTATTTGCTTAAAATTAAATTGCTAACTTTCAAAACCCCTTTTTAGATCATAGGTTCAATACTATTGATTTTCATGCTACATATGCATCAGTAAATTCAATAATTTATCTTAATATTTATTAGGTCGCAACTTTATTCGGAGGATTGTTTTTCTTGGAGTAGGATGTTTAAAATAATGAGAATTTCTTAACTGGACTATTCTTAGCGATTTTATTTTACAACACTTTCTTTGTAGCGACATGGGCATATAAATTCTCTACAGTATTAATAAGACTTCACTAGAGAACTATCAAAAAAATCCATTGCTTGAAATTCTTATAAGTTGAAAGCTATGAAAACAATCTTTTGTAAGAATCTGAAAAGCTAAGGTCTAAAAAGAGCTCATATTTAAAGGCTAAGGATACCAATACATCAAACTTAGGTCTGATAGAGAGTTATTCTCTTGGCAAGTATATTGATGAAAAGACTAAAATCGAGAAGAACACTGCGAATCACCTTTAGGAGTCAAGCATATCACAACATACTTAGAATAAAAAGACTGCTAATGATGTTACTCCAGTAACTAATCCTCAACAAACAATAGTAAGTATGGCTGGAATTATAAACAGCTAGGTTTTTTAACCTAATAGTTAAAGATCCAGTGATTAATCAACTAGAAGATAACTTATTAAGAATGAGACCCCTTTTGAATAATTAGGAAATAATATGAAAAAACCTAATTTTAACAATGAAGATTATATTGCTGTTGGTACAAGCTAAGATTTATCTAACATTTCAGAGGAGAGAAAAAATAAGAGAAAATCTAAATAAAAAAGAAAACCTCCTAAGGAAATTTGATTATATATTTTTGATCAATCAGAAGATTGATTAGATTATTAATATTAAGTGAATGAAGCAGGAATTATTTCCATTTTTATTTAATGATTATCTAATTTTATTTGAATTTTAACTTAAGGGGTTTTGGGGTTTTGGGG